TAGTTTGGAAATAATCAATTTTTTTCAGTCTGGTCCCAACAAGAATCCTGTTTTAGCTGGGATTGTATTGATGACTGTGGCTTCGATATTTGTACTGCTTGGAGATCTCAATCAGCTCGCCATTTTATCAACTATGCCATTCTTAATTACTTACGCATTTGTAAACTACGCTTACGTCTCTTTGGCAATGAGTTACGATCTGCTTACGATCACTCATGCAGCGTAAGTCAGCAATTTTTCCTAGAAAAGCTTATTTTGTGCTTCATTTTTCATAAAAGATATCAAAGGTTATGAAAGAGAAGTTGGATTTGGCCACAAAATTTTTTTTCAATAAAGAGCAATCGAAAATTAGTCCACTTCATCGCATATGTAATTTGCATCAAATGTTAATACAAAAGAAAAAATGACTGAACAGCAATTTTTGTATGTTCCTCCCACTTTGGCCGCTCCAGCCAATCAAGTTGTGCATACTCTGATTGGCCGAAATTCTATTGTTAGGTTTGTTGTGCATTTATGCCAAAAAACTTTCTAAGTACTCAAAATACTATTTTTTTATCTGAAAGTAGATTAAATGCAACCTACAAGGATTTATAAAATTAGGCTTCCCAACAGTTTATCTCAGCTGCAAACACGTAATTACAATTGCAAATAGAACTAATCCATTTTCACAATTTCAGTGAAGAAAGCTCCAAATATGGCTCGATGCAAAAAATTGGTGATCTCGATGAACTGTTCCCAGAACGTCAGCAACAACAAGTTTCAGCAGCTACTGTAGAAGCTGGTGGTATAGTGGGTCAACCAGCCACCTGGTATTCGATGTTTAGCAATCGTTACATTGCTTTTGTTGGTGTAAGTTCGACCTTCAATTTGATTTAGAGTTCATTTCATTTTTTATTGAAAGAAAAAGAGATTTTGTTTAGTTTCTGGTGAATCTCTTCATACTTTTGCTTATCCATTTCTGGTTTGCCGTGGCACATTTTGCTGTTCTCATCATCCTTTACTTCTATATCGGGAGGGTATGCCCAGCTTGCAGTCCAGGTAATCTATCAGAAATATATCAACTGATTTATCTAGAACATTCTTGACTATTGAAGAATCAAGTTAAGAAATTTGGTAAAAAAGGAGAAAAACTAAATGTTAAAAAATCCAGGAATCTCAACCTTTTCCATCCCTCATATGTTCCGCACTGCCTTCTCCTCACTAGAGGCAATCGGCGTTTTTAACAGAGGACCATCTGTTTTGACAAAGGTAAGTTAAATCACGCAAGCTTTCCACCAAATTCTTGAAAATCTACGCGATTTCAGGAAGGACCATCGAAAGATGTGCTCACCGAGCAACTCAACGAATCGAATCCGGATTATCAAGATCGAAAACAATACCATCATGCTGAGAACGTCAC